CGTCGTGGTTCCTGGGTTTCGGAAACTCGCCAATTTCCGAAACCATCATGCTTCACGGGCCTAGCCCCTTTGCTCTGTAACGGTTCTTGGTTGGAAGGGGGTAGATGATAGACTTTACTTGGGATGATCCTTGGTGTGAGTTAGGGGTCTATAGGATCTTGGTCTTACGATTGCCTTGCCACACTGGTGATCCAAACGCTGTGTAGGGTCTAGAGCCGAAGCCCAACATCAATATGGAGTTTGGGGGCATATGTTTCCATAAGTACGTAACGTCAGGGATTTAGGGCTTAGGGTTTAGGAGTTTGGGGGTATATGGTTCCATACTTATGCAAGGGTTGGTCATAAGGACTAAGTTCTAATGTGCTAAATCTTGATGTTTTTCATCTGAGCTATAGTCTAAAACTCCCCTTTAGTCACTGCTATAGTAGTTCCCTATATAATTCCTCTTGTAACCCCGTTAAGGAGTTTATATGGCCGCGCTGAAGGCTGCCAGCTTCAAACAGGATGCGTGGAAGCAGTGAAAAAGAGGTCTAGGCTGCCACGGAGAAGTGTTTGACATCAGGGGCGAAATAGTGGGGATTCAAGGAGTTTAGGGTTTAGAGTCAAGGGTATTATCGAAAGTAGTTGGGGTTTAAGGAGTCTGGGGCTTAAGGTTTAGGCTTGTTATCCCCAATGACTGAGAAGCAAATAGGAAAAGAACATGGAAATCGAAATGGAAACTGGGGTGACATAGAGGTTTATAGGGAGAATGCTCCTAGATTCCTTGTGAAAGTATGGTATAGGGGGGAACCTCAAAAGGATGTTGGTAATTATCTAGGCTCCCGCAGTAGCAACAGACAACTGGAAGGATGCCCCAAAAGAAGTCAGAAATGATATGGTCCCCCTAAAGTAGATAGGGGTTCTATTAGGGTTATATTGGGATAATGGAAAAGAAAATGGAAACTACTATTTAGAGTTTAGGTTCCCCTTAACTAGATAGAATATGGCTTTGGGTATATTATAATAAGATCCCCATATACACTATATTCTATCTACTTAAGGGGGACGACGAGTCTCCAGCAGATGTTAAGACACTACGAGAAGGAGTGTGAGTCAGCTCTCAATCTCAAAAATGCAAGGAGTGTAATTAACAGGCTGCTTTACAGTAGGTGCGTTGATGTTCAGAACTATTGTTCGATGTAGGAAAACACAGTTCTAACTCGTCGTCTGATTTTTGTTGCTAATCGTAATTGCGCATGGCTGCCTAAACTTGGAAGCCTGAATCCCAAACCCTAATGTAGCGTTTAGGGCGTAGCCTTCTCAATCCTGAGCTGTAAATCCTAGACCCTGGACCTTCAACCCCAATCACCTGAAACCCCAAGCTGTAAACCCTCAACCCAAATCTCTACACCTAAAGCCCAAGCTGTAGACCCTGAACCCTTCAAACTCTGCACCTCAAACCC